AAAAAATCACAAGCTTTCAAATGGGCGTTCAGAAGTCATCAAAAGGTGTTACCCTACGGGGAAAACACACTGTGGACGGGCAGGAAGCCCCCAGCATGGCCTCAACGCCTGCCCATCCATGCACATTCCTTCCAGTGATTATTTGCGTGGTGCCAGCATGACTCGGGCTGTAAAGATGCGTGCCCCAGCGCCAGCAGCTAGCTAGCCGAGTGACCGTCAGCCAATCTCCAAATATTTCCTGCACATCCACTGTTCAAGGCCCGGAGACACTAGGATAACTGAGACACAAACCTTGCCCCCACTGGTGCTTATGATCTAGAATAGGAGACAGAGTAGATCAGGGGCCCTCAAACTTTTTAAACAGGGGGCCAGTTCACTGTCCCTCAGACCGTTGGAGGGCCGGACTATAGTTTAAAAAAAAAACTATGAACAAATTCCTATGCACACAGTGGCGGCAAATACACCAGGCAGGCCGGATAAATGTTTTCAGCGGGCTGCATGTGGCCCGCGGGCCGTAGTTTGAGGACCCCTGGAGTAGATGATAAAATCGACGTGTCATGGCAAGTGCAGCAGAAACCAGAGGTGGCCACCACTGACTCTGCCCAGAGCTGAGGCCAAAGAAGTCGTGCCTTTGGCTCCGTCTCACAAGATCAGTGTGTTTGTCACACTGCTGGGAGACAGGGAAGCGCAGAGACCAGTATGGACATAAGCAGGTGAGGTATACTAGTAACGCTATTGATAAAATCAGTTTTAACTAACTACAGGGGATGGGGAAGCCTTCACTGAGATTAACATGATCTAGAATATTCAGGTAACCTCACCTCCCAAACAGTAATGATGATGACAGCTCAGCCCTGAAAGGTAGAACTAGATAAACCAACAGTCTTGTGTATGTTTGTGTGCGTGTGTGTGTGTATGTGTGTGTGTGTACAACTCCCCAGTCAGTCTCTCTAAAATTTCTCTGCAATGTAGACACAAGGATGGGCCCCACCAGCAAGCTTTGCTCAGTTAGTAAAGCCATCAGGAAGGTGTGTTAGAGGTGGCTTGATGGGTGGGGAAGGGCTGGTAACAGAAAGAAGACTGGAAAGGTAAACTAGGACCAGATTAAGAAGCACTTTGAGCCCAGCCAGTGTGGCTCAGTGGTTGAGCATGGACCTATGAACCAGGAGGTCACGGTTCAATTCCCACTTAGGGCACATGCCGGGGTTGTGGGCTCATTTGCCAGTAGGGGGCATGCAGGAGGCAACTGCTCAATGATTCGCTCTCATCACTGATGTTTCTCTCTCTCTCTCCCTCTCCCTCTCTGAAATCAATAATTTTTTTTTTTTAAAGAAGCACTGTGAGCACCACATTACACAGTTTTGTAGAACAATGGGACAAATGAGACTTTTCAGCAAGAAAAACTAGCATCTCTGGGTCTCAATTTCTGTATTTGTGAAGCTGAGATGAATGGACTAGCTGTCCAAAGTTCTGTCCCGCCCATAAATGAACCCTCATGCTCTCATTCTGTTGCCCATTTATTCTTCAGACTATTTTGTCTCAGAAGAATTTTCCTGTTCACCTTTCTTCAGTCAGTACTGTCAACAAAACGGAAGTGAAAGCACATTATCTAATGTCTGGTAAACCATACATGCAGCAATGCAGTTCAGCTGAAGAAATGCACTAATATTTGGCGGTGACTGGCTTGCGTCAGACTGATTTTTGAAATTTAAACTCTCTCGACCCCTTGTTGCAGGACTGGTCATAGACTCTCAAATGTCACTGTTTGCATGTGATTATGGTCATTTTAAAGGAAGAGAAACATGAGGTGGGACAGAAAAAGCCGCGGCGACGTACCAAGAGGTTCTCTGGCTTGATGTCCCTGTGCACGATGCTGAGGCTGTGCAGGTACCTGAGGGCGTTGGCCAGGTTGTACACCATGGCACTGCCATCCCGCTCGGTGTACTTGGTTGAAGAGGTAATTGCATCAAAGAGGTCTCCACCCTGAAGAACACGAAAGAACAGACCAAAATATCAACAGTGGCAATCCCAGGAAGGTAACAAAGAAGGTCATCGGCCTGGAGTGGATTTTTTTTAAATGCTACGAAAATGGACCATTATGAATAAAGCGTCAAGGTAGCAAACCACGTTTCTGATTAGGTCCTTCAAGAATACGGTTAAGTCTTGGGACCTGGCACCAGGGAAACCTCTTGAAAGCTCTCCCCCTCGTACCTTAACCAATTCCATCACCAGGAAGAGCTCGGTGGCTGTTTCCATCTCCTCCACCAGCATGATGATGTTCGGGTGCTTCACCTGGCGCAGGATGGACACCTCATTTTCGATCAGGTGCTCCTGTCAAACGGGGGGGGGGGGGGGGGGTGAGCGGACACAGA